GGGGGGGGGCACTGATCTTTGGAGTAAAGGACACCTCACCCACACCTCAAAAGTTATTTGTGTACGCTCCCTTTGGAGTCGCGCTGACGGCGGACACGTCGGCGTAGGCACTTTGGGCCTGCTTTGCTGAGGGGGGTCCGCCCCTAAACAGCCAAATCCCCGGGCCTCACAACGAACAGCACGCCCTCCCTCTGCTGCTGTGCCAGGGTGGGGCAGCTAGTTTACGGGCGGCCCCTATAAATACTACCGCGTTCGATAGGTCGATCGCGATACCGCGCTCGTTATGACGAGATATCGGCCGCCGTAACACCGCCGGCGCCGCCCCCCATTATGTCCTTTTATTGTAATCGCGTCGTCACGTTAGTGAGCCTGCCGGACCGAGAGCGGGGTGGGGGGGGGGGGGGCATTTATTGGGACATTTTCCAGGGCGATATACGGCGCGGCGGCGGCGGCGGCGGCGCCCTCTATAGCCCTGACGACAGATTTCCTCTCCGACCTGCTGCTGGGGCCTTTTACGAGTCAGCTCGTGCGGGAATGCGAATGTGTTTGCCCTCGCCCCGCCCCGCCTCGCCCCGCCCCGCCCCGCCCTGGCGAGGGTGCGGCGGGTCCTGCCGTGTACACACAGTTACACATATGTGGTGGCGGCAAGACCCTACTGGCCCCGCAGCTACTAGGGCCACCGCAGAGCTCCAGGACCAAACGGCGTGTCGCGACACCTGGAATCTGCCTGGAATAGCCTGGAGCAGGGGCAGCCCCTCCGTTCGCTTCCCTCCTGCTCCACCCTCTGAGGCCCAGGCGGGGGCTTTTACCTCCGGCTCCGGCCGCCAAACCGGAGGCGGGGACGAGATCGGTCGAGTAGAGATCAGAGGAGATCTCGTGGGGAGGGGAGGCTGCGGGGCACCACCGGGAGGGGCGGGATTGGGGTCACGAGATGGTCACCAGGACAGCCTTCTGCCCTCAGAGGAGGGGGATGGGGCCGGTAGAAAAGAGAACGAGCGGGGAGGGCGTAATCAAGCTCAAGCCCCCCCCCCCCTTTTCCTCCTCCTCCGTGCGATGCAGCCAGCTCGGTGTGACTGGCTTCGACCTCCACCACCACCACCCCCTCCGTGACGAAGCCGCCGCCGTGGTGGTGCGACCTGGGCGTGACGATCCGGCCGAGTACAGTGTAACCATACGCGACGCACAAGTGGCAAAAGATGCGCATCAACAACAAAAAAAAAAAATTCAAACCAAATTTATCAAAAAAAAAAATGGATAAATAACGGTTTTTATTGTACTTCAGTGAGATTTTGAAACATTTACACATTAAAAGGTGGCCACGAGTAGCGCAGACGTCTGCGGCGAGCGCCGAGTGCGTAGGCAACCCAACCGACACCAGTGCATGCGTGACGGCCTACCTACCGGCTCGCGGTGCTCATCATGGTGTAGGTGCTCGTCGCCGTGCTGGCCGCCGTGCTCGTCGCCGTGCTCGTCGCCGTGCT